CCATAGTACTACTTAGGTCTCAACATTGTGGTAGAGTACATGAATGTACAGTAGAGCTAGGATAGATTGACTTCCTCTCAATAGGTTGAAGTAAATAAACTTGGAGAAAAAAGGGAATCAACAATCAGAAAGAAAACTCATGACTTCCTCTTATAAATAGTCAGTAAAACACAGGTCTTTGTTAGACACCCCGCTAGCAGAGTCCAAGGCTGTAGCTCCAGAGGGCTCTGGAGTCCCCTTAATGAGATAACACAGTGATGTAAACAGAAGACACTAGGATGGGAGTAGAGGAGGAATTTACCTCATTTTAAGACCATCTTTCCATTCATTATCCTACTCCACAACAGTTGTGAGTAGTCCCTAAGTATTGCAAAGGAGAAGACTTAGGGGGCACTTACCTTTTTGTGCCCAAATTGTCTGTCCCAGGAAGACTGCTGGAAGAGAATCATTGGTGAAAATTTAACCTCCAGTATCCAACCTCTGGTGCAGATCTCCCTGCATAATGAGCTTTGGAGTAAATCTATGTGTGTGTGTGTGTATGCATTGTTTGTTTGTCTATTTATTTATCTACACCTATCTATTATCTATAGTAGTTTCAGGTATCTCTTTGTATCTATTATCATTCTATTATGCATGTGTGTATATATGTATGTGTCAATCATCTGTCTCTACATGTATTGCCATTATTTATTAATTGATTATCTTTTGTCTATAATCTGAAATTTATCAATCAATCTACAAGTCACTTTCAATCATTTATTTATCACCTTTCTTCTGTAGATCATCTAGTTTTGTCTGTGGTGTATCATTTCTTCTATCTAGCTCTTGTTTTGAGATGTTTGTCTATTTATTCATAAGAGTATTTTTCCCAAAATAACCAGTCTTGAGGGTCACCCTTACATTTTTAGTCTCTCTCCCTCTCCTCTCACAAAGCCCAGCAATGGTCATGAAACCCAGACAGTATGTCATGAATTGAATAGAGGCAAGAAAGTCCCACAGCTTAGATTCTAACAGAGACCCAGTTACTACCATCTGAGCAGAATGCTGGGAGACTAGACTACCCTTGGCTGCCAGTAAAGTCCCCTATCTTCCGTGTTAAGAGAGGTGCTAGCTTTTGTGGGAACCCTGCCTGTCTTGCTAACCCACTTTCAGTGCAGGACTCACCGAGACACAGATAGGTGGTGTCCTGTGGAGCCATGATGCTGATATGGCCCCAGCCCAATTATTGTCCCATCTGTGTGCATTCACAGACAACAGATACTTGTGAGACAGTAGGACACACAGGATGTTTGAGGTCTGAGTTCCTGACCACAGGATTTCTACATCTTTTCCTCTTTAGGCAAAAGGGACAGTTCCTTTTTGAAAAGTTCTCAGTTGCTCTTGGGTGGACTCTTAGAAGAGACCGAGAATCCTTCTTTTTATATCTCAGACACGAAGGAGGGTTTTCCTCAATGCAATGGCTAGTGATGTTAAAATTCCTTTTTTTTTTTGTCGGAAATTTCTTTTTATTTTTTTTTCCTGGCAGTCTCTATTATGCAACACAGTGTATTCCAGAATTCACTATGAGGTCCAGACTATACTTAAACTGAGTTCCTTCTTCAGCTTGACAAACCTGGAAACACAGGTGTGAACTACCACCATGCTTGTTTTAATAATTTTTATTTCTAATTTTTTCTTTCCATTTTTTTCATTTTACATACCAACCCCAGTTTCCACTTCTTCTCCTTCTTCCATTCCCCAACTCTTCCTACCCTTATCCACTCAAAGGGGTAAGGCCTCCCTTGGGGAGTCAACAAAATCTGACAAAGTTGAGACAGGACCAACCTCACACCCCCTGGTTTGTATCAAGGTTGAGCAAGGTATTCCACCATAGGGAATGGGCTCCAAAAAGCCAATTCATGTACCTGGGATAATTCCTGATCCCATTGCCAGGCCCCCTACAGATCAAATCTTGTAATTGTCACCCACATGCAGAAGGCCTAGTTTGGTCCCATGTAGGTTCCCCAGCTGTCAATCCAGAGTCCTTGAGCTCTCATTAACTTAAGTAGGGTGCCTCTGTGATTTTCCCCATCATGATCTTGACCCCCCTCACACGCTCATTTGATTTCTCCCACTTCTCTTTAACTGAACTCCAGGAGCTCAGTCCAGTGTCTAACTGTGAGCCATTGTATCTGCTTCCATTAGTTACCGGATGTAGGTTTTATGATAACTGTGAACCATTGCATATGCTTCCATCAGTTACCGGATGTAGGTTTTATGATAACAATTAGGGTAGTCACTAATCTGTTTCTAGGGGAAACAGTTCAGGCACCCTCTTCATTATTGCTAGGAGTCTTCGTTAGGTTCATCCTTGTGTATTCTTGGGAATTTCTCCATAATACCATAATGTCTCCCTCTATCAAGGTATCTCTTTCTCTGCCCTCTCTCTCCATCCCTCCTCCAACTTGGCCATCTCAATCCCTTATCTCCCATCCCCTCTCTTCTATCCCATCCCAGTTTACTCAGAGTATCTTAACTTCTTCCTTTTCCTGGGGCCCTCCATGTGTCTTCTTCTTCTTCTTCTTCTTCTTCTTCTTCTTCTTCTTCTTCTTCTTCTTCTTCTTCTTCTTCTTCTTCTTCTTCTTCTTCTTCTTCTTCTTCTTTTTGTTGGAAGAAAAGGTTTATTTGACTAACAGTGTTACAGAGACAGTCACTTGAGACAGACATAGTGAGAAAGCAGAGATAAAGGAATGTATTCTACACTCAGCTAGTTTACTTCACTCTTAAACAGTCCAGGATATCTTGCTTAGAAAATGGTGTCATTTCCTAACTTGTGGGTAGGTCTCCTCATACCAATTAAACTAAACAGGAAAAAATTTCCCAGACATGCCCATAGGCCAATTATCTCTGATTTAGACAAACTTTCTTTGAGATTCTATTTTGAAGTGATTCTAGATTGTGTCAGGGTGACATTTAGAACTAAAACTCACAACAGCAGTAACACCAAGATAACACTGACATTTGCAATTGCCTACATATTTAGAAAGAAGTCTCAACACTTTATCCTACTACACCACTGTTGAGAATATACCTGAAGGGCTTTTATTCACCACGCCATTGGAGACTTCTGCATATTCATATTTATTGATGAACTAGGTAATAACACCTGCTCTGAGTTCATGTGTGTAATAGCTGTACTCAGAGGCTCACATTTCACAGCGTTCCTTCCTGTTCTCTGGCTCTCATGTTCATTTCACTGCCCCTTATTTTGTGATGTTCCCTGAGCCCTGGAAAAGGTTGACCTACACTTTATGAAATAGCCATTTGCGGGATTGGAGTGAGCATTGAATATGATCAAAAAACATTTCATGCACATATGAAACTTTCTCCAAATTAAAAAACTTACGTTAAGAGAACTCTTCATTTATTCCCATGATACTTTTTCTAGTTCTTTCTCTCTCTTCCTCCTTCTCTCTTCTCTCTCTCTCTTTGTCTCTCTCTGTTTCCCTGTCTCTCTATGTTTCTCTGTCTCTTTCTCTTTCTCTCACATACACATACACACAGTAAGATAAATATGTATAAAGATGTCATGTTGAAATACCATATGTTGTATGCCAATCTAAAGGTTATTACAAACCTAAAAAGTAAAAACCTAATTTAAAATCTATTTTACACATAAATGTATACATGTATTTATCTTCCTGAATCCAGCTTATTTTGCTACACATAATGGTTTTAAGTTGCATCCATTTTCCTGCAGATGTTCTATTTGATTTTTTGCTATAACTGTGTTGATAGAGCTTTCTGTCTAACCCAGTCCCTCAGCTGTTCAGTTCCAAAGAAACACACAGAGGTCTAAATTAATTATAAACTGGTTGGCCTATTAGCTCAGGCTTCTTATTAACTAATTCTTACATCTTAAATTGGCCCATTATTCTTGTCTATATTAGCCACGTGGCTTGGTATCTTATATCAGTGAGGTGTTCTCATCTTGTTTGCTCTATGTCTGGCTTTCTCTGTGATGACTCTAGACTGAGCTTTCTTCTTCCCAGAATTCTCCTGTTCTTGTTGCCCCACCTCTACTTCCTGTCTGGCTACTGGCTAGTCAGTGTTTTATTAAAACTAATACAAGTGACAGGATAAAAGATTATTGTCCCACAGCATAACTGGATTAAAAAAATTATGTCACCTGGGCCTGAAAGCATCTCTCTGCTGAATTCTTGAAACACTTTTGGAAGGGAACTTGGATTAAAGAGACTTCAAATAAAATTCCTTCTTCAGGGTGCTCACAGTCCCTGTAACATTATCTCTTGGGAGGTTGAGGCAGATAGATCTGAAATTGGAGGCTATCTAGCAAGTCCCTGTTTCAAAAGAGCAAAGAATCAGACAGACAGATAAAGATGCATCTCATAGTAGATGCAGGAAAATGCAAAAGAGAACCTTTGGGATAGTGAAATAGTTGTGGTTTTGACCAATGTGACACAAGCTGTAGTCACTAGACAAGTGGGACTTTCAACTGAGACATGCATTCATATGATTAGCCTATAGGCAAGTCTGTTTGGCATTTCTTGATTCATGTGGGGAAGCCTAGACTACTGTGAGTGGTGCCTCTCCTCATGAGGTCATTCCAGATTGTATAAGAAAGCAGGCTGAGCAAGGCATAGGGAACAATTCAGTATCTGGTGAACTCCCATCGGTTCTGCTTCAGTTTCTGTCTCCAGGTTCCTGACTTGACTTCCCTCAATGGAGTGTGGCCTAGGATTGTGCAAGATATGTAATCCAAAGGAACCCTTTACCCCATTTAGTTTGGTCAAAGAGCTGTGGTCTCCACAGAAGACTTCTTCAGATGTTTCTTTTTTATTTTATTTTTTAAAAAAATCTTTTCTTATTTTACATATCAGTCCCAGTTCCCCTTCCCTCTCTTCCTCCTGCTCCTCCCACATTATCCCCCCCACATCCATTTTTCAGAGAGATAAGCCCTCTGGCATAACTGGATGTAGACACATAGAAGAATGCAAGTAGATACATGTCTACACCCATGCATAAAACTCAAGGACAAATGGATCAAAGGCCACAATGTAAATCCAGCTATAATGAACCTCATAGAAAGGAAAGTGAGAAGTAGCCTTGAACACATTGGCACAGGAGACCACTTACTAAATATAGCACCAGTAGCACAGATACTGAGAACAACAACTAATAAATGGGGCCTTCTAAGACTAAGAAGCTTCTGTAAGGCATAGGACACAGACAACAGTACAAAAATGGCAGCCTACTGAATGGGGAAAGATCTTCATAAATCCCACATCTGACAGAGAGATGATCTCCAAAATATATGAAGAACTGAAGAAACTAGATATCAAAATCCCAAATAATCCAATTAAAAAATTCTCAACAGAGAAAGCTGAAATGGCTGAAAGACATTTAAAGGTTGCTCAACATCTTTAGTTATCAGGGAAATGCAAATCAAAACGACTCGGAGATATCATCTTTCACTGATCAGAATGGCTAAGATCAGAGGTTTCCTTGAGAACTCATGAGGCAAAGAATATATTTCATCTCGGCTTAACATTTCCTGACTTCCACGTACACACTGGGATCTGTGGAAAATTCCTTTGGAGTCTGGGAAATGGGAGTGGGTAATTTCTGCTTGAAGATCAACTGATCAAATTCCAAGTATGCCACCTCCTGCACTTCTTGTCTTTCAGGGTCCTAGAAAGAGGTAAATATTAAGTGATGTATGTACATCATCTTGCAGATAATGAAGGAATATTAGACTGTAGGAAGAGGCAGTCTCAGGGGGACCTACCTGTCTGCTCAGTGTTGTTCTCGATTCACACTCTTGGTCCATGGTAGCTGTAATTTTAGAGGACAGAAGTAAACAAACATACATAATAAAGTACTTCTGCACTCTCATTTCAAATCCAAAGTACTAGTGAGAGATAGGGTAAAACACAAGGTTGTTCACCTGCCGCCAATCAGATTTAGAAGTTTTGCCACTTTATGTTTATAGCCCCATCCCACAATGCTGTACCCTAGTAATTCTTTTTCAGTATATTCTTTCTCGTTCCCTTCCTGCTTCCCTCCCTCCCTCCCTCCTTCAATTCCTCTTTCACTTCCTTTCTCCATCTCTCCTGCCATCTCTCCCTCCCTCTCGCTCTTGTGAAACCTCCTAGATATTAGTGTATGCTTTGGAGGTGAAGATGCAAAAGTGCATTGAGAAATTAGTCAGTGTCTGAGAACTGAGGTGAAGTGCAAGACTTTCTTTTCTGTTTAAAAAGTCCTGCCTCAGTTTCCCTGTATTATTCCAAGTATCCTTTTGTAAATGAGGAACACATACCTGTATTTTTCCAGTCTTGGTTTCTCACAATACTCAGATGACACTTACGGGCTTGTTCCTGAGATTTACTCTTTTTGGCCGAGCAACAAGAATACAGGAGGATGATAAGGAAAACAGACATCATGATAACTGACAGCCCGATCAGAATATTCATGATCCTGTGGTTATCTAGAGGGAGATGTAAACCCAATAAGAGGTAAAACTTTGGTTCCCCATTTTTATAGACTGCATAGTATTCATTTATTGGAGGATAATTAATATAATAGTTTTTTAGGAAAAGCATCTTGATGGAGAACCTACTAATAATATTCTGCTAAAAGGAAATAGTATTTAACTGACTCCTAAAGACTTACCCCTATACATAATGCATTTCTCAACTCTCAAGAACAGGTTCTATATTTGTGAGAGGTGGTGATTAACACAGATACGCACAACTGGGCAAGCTGTGGAGAATAAGAGACCATAGAATTCTTTGTCCTAAATGGATGTTTACATCTCATATTCTTCTCCAAAAGTTCAGCATCAGTGTGAAAGAGATAGAAGAAGAGATTTTGAAAAGATGCTCTGGATAACTATAAGGTAACTGTCTTTTATATACCAAGGGCATCTTAATATGGGAACTTCACAAGAGGTAGTGATAGCATGTCCAGAGCAGTACAAGATCAAGCTAGACAAAATCCCAGCATGGAGAATGAAGGTGGACAAAAAGTTCCACCCCTAGTCAAGGCAATTGATAACTGTTGGCGGAAGGAGTATCAGTTAGAGCAGTGTTGTTGCTATGAAGTTGACAATGCACCAGCAGAAGTTCACACATCCAAGAATATATGGACATTATGCCTGTGGCAGAAAACTGCAGGACACTGGGTAAAGGCCATGTGCTAATGATCTTAATCTGAGATCTGATACCAGTGCTCACTTAATCTGGTAAACAACTTCTACATCTTCAACACCCTTGAATCAAACTACTAATTCTCCAAAGGGCAAAAGTAAGTCTGGTGTAGTCTATCACAGGTAATATTTTTTATAAAATTATCCTTTCTGCTTGCTTGCGTCCTTTTTCATTCTCTACAATCTTCTCTCCTGGAAAAAACTGAGCTAGAAAGAGCACTTCATTGTTCTTGGAAGAGAGCTAAATCTGCTCTCCCTTTTACTTGTAGGAGATCTCGGGTACAGTTCCCATGCTGCTCCTAAAACCTAAAAGTTGCAGAGTTTAAGAATAAGAGAGAGGAGATGATGATGTTAAGACTACTGAGATATGAGGAAGTCGAGTCAAAGTATGAGCCCAAGAGCATTTGGTCCCCAAGTTTCCACAATAGAGAAGGGGAAAATTACTCACTAGTTTTGGAGTCTGGTTCAGTGGATGAAGTGAAATTTCTTGATGAGTTTACTAGGGAAGGGGAGAAGAGAGGGTGAAAGTTCATCAAAAGACTATGTGACTTCCCCACATGCAAAGTCCTTTAAATTTGGAGAGTAAGCAGCACATACTCTATCTCTTAGTGCTGAGCCTTTAGAATCATAGGATGCCATTATGTGATTATTTCAAGTTGTGATGAGTCAATAGGAATACTGTGGAGAGAGCTTTGTGAAGGAGAGATCAGGAGGCTGCTCCATCTGTGTTCTGTCCAAACTGATTGCAATCTTATCCTTAATGAGTCTGTCCTGACCTTTTTCTTATTCTCTATGGATACGTACACATGCCAGTGTGGCTGACCAATCAAGATAAGGATTGTTTGAGAGGCTCCTTATCTATTATTTTGTAATTTGATATCCATTCTTAAACTCTATGTATTTTTAAAAAGTTCTTAAATGAAATATAATTGTATGTCTTTTCTTATTCTTCTCATCTCTTCAGAGCATATCAGGTATCCTTCCAGGATTTTCAATACACTCCTTTACATAGATAGCCTTTTTGTCTTTGATTAATATTGTTTTATTATGTAACACACACATATATACATATTATGTATACGTATATGTTACTGAGTCTCTCTATTATCAGTAAGATGGTTCTCAGACATAGCTTCTTTAGGATCTGCTTAGTCACAAGATATGATGTACATATAAGACTCCTTTCCTACCTGTGACAGAAAGGAACAATGGGTCACTTGGGGATGACCACACATGGGAAGAGTTCCTGAAAGAACCATAGCATCTATAGGTCTCTGCCTGGATCAAAGGAACATGAAGGAAGTTGGCCTTGAATGTCCCATTGTGACTCTGCTCTGCAGGCCACCCATGTCTCAGAGGCACCCCTTCCCTGGACAGATGGAACAAGTCAAACTGATGGTCAGAGATGCAGGACAAGGTCATGTTCTCTACTGATGTCACCTCAGGTCCCATCAGGGCAGACAGAGAAGGTTTCTTGTATAAACCTAGAAGGAAGAAGGTAGAGACAGTGGAGGAGCAGTTCCTTACCAGTGTTCAGTCACTTCTCAGTGTTCTCTCTCCCTGCTTCCATTTCTGTGATCTCTCTCTACCCCACATTTATCTCTGTCTTTTCTACCTCCCTTTGTCTTCCCAATTTCCTTCTTTTCTTCTAAATTACCTTACTGAGTCTCTGACTTCAATCCTATACCCATATATTTTATTTCAGTTCTTACTTTTGGACAGTTTCTGCCTCTAATGCATTAGTTCATACCATCTTTCTTTTTAAGTTTGTTTTTATAAACATATTTAATTTATGTAGCAATTTGATACATCATGAAACATTCAAATATATAATGCATTTTATATTTTTTTAAAGTTGAAGTTAAATTATAATTACATCATTTTGTCACTTCTTTTTCTTTAAGTGTTGTTACATATGTTTATAGATGTAATCTTGATCATATTTTTGCTATCGTTCTTCCTTCTCCATCAATTTCTAATGATTCCATTCCTTTTCCTAATTGTTCTTTTTATACTTTCAGTATTTCCCAAATGTTTTGTCAATCAATGAGTTAATTAGAGGTATTTATTATTTTGTTTTAATTAAGAAATAAAGCAATGAACCCCATTAAGGAATTCTCAAACAGTTCATTTTGTAGATTTTCTTCCCAATCACTTCCCTTATACCACCTTTGCTGGTCCTTCCCCCTCAATTCCCCCTCCATGTCATATGTATTTCTTCTCTTTTCGATCCCACTTTGTTAATATACTTCCCCTTCTCATGGTTTATTAACAGTTTCATGACTTATAAATTGTTCATCCTATGTATATTTAAAATGTAGAATCTGACTTCATTCTAAGTAATTAATTTTATATCTTGTATTTTCCCCATATCTGTGTTAGTGGATCTCTCTTTTCAAAGGACAGAATATTCCAAGAATGTATATGTTTCCTTGAATAGGGGCCATGATGATCTTCCCTCCCTTGTTTCTCATAGTGTGTTTACTGCTCAACTATAATCTATAATCTTCCACCTATTTCTGCTTTAAAATATCCAATATTTGCTATTATTTCTCTATTTCTTAAATCTTCCAGTCAAGCTTAAGACTTTTTGCAGGTTTTCTCTTCCCCCACATGCCTTGCTTACTATTTCCTCAGTATCTGAATCTTTCTCTCAGCCTCCCTGTTTGTATATATTTCCATGTCTCTGTATTATTTGCATATGTCTATCCCAGGGGGAAACATTATAGCATTTTCTCACCCATCCTGGAATGTGTGAATGAGTTTGAAACATGGGCTGACAACATTTTGGAGCACAGCCAGCTCCAATGTAGAGAACAGACAGCGACTGGTGGTCTACTCAGTTACCTAGGGTTATGCTATTCTTTGATGAATAGTTAGTCAAATACGAGAATGGAAGAACTCTCAAACTTGACAGAAATTCTATGGGTGCCATCTGTACCAAGACCTCAGGACTGATGAAGAAACAACCCCACTCAGCACATGAACACAGGTCAGACTTATACATCTAGGTCTTCTGACATGTCTTTTAGAGGAAGAAGCCAAACAAAATCCTAAACTTCTAGGCCTTTGAATATTAGTAGAAGGATATCATCATCTCTGATACATATCATTCTCACCAAGCTGCCCCTTTCTCTTTATTTCTAAGTACGATTCCTTTGACATCCCTGAATCTGTGCTTTATACTATAACCAATGGTTTGTTCTTGTATCTCTGTTTTTATCGTCTATATCAGTAATATATGCTTCAAGTCTGCCTTTATCTAAGTTTCTTACACTCACCTTCTAGGACATGCTGTCTATATAATAACTGTTCTGCATCACAGAGAGGCTGGAGACCAGGTAGCACCCTCTTACCTGTGATCTTTATGTCAACAGGGTCACTGGATTCAGACCACTCGTATGGTGTTTGCTTGTAAGATCCATAGCATGTGTAAGTCCCAGCATGGTCAGGTGTCACAGGACCTATTGGGAAGTTGGCATGGGACCCCCCAATATGAGGTTCTGCAGAGAGCTGGTAAGAGTCCTTGCTTATTCCCATACTACATGCAGTCAAAGTGAATGTGTCAAACATAATCTCTGATAGGCACTTCAATGTTGCCTTCTCTCCTAATTTTACCAGAGGAGTTGTTAGGGCCAGGAGGAAAGGCTTCCTGTAGATTCCTAGGAATAAAAAGATTGTGAGCATGAACCTGCTATCAATCTATGTATCCCAGAAATCCCATTTCCATCAGTGTCCCAGTGTCCTTTTCATTTTTTATGTTGGCTCGTGCACAGAGTCCTCCATCTTTCTATGACCATTTCCCACTTATTTGACCTTGGTAACAGCACAATATTTTCCAATTGCCCGTGTAGCATATTCCTTTATAATGATGAGATTCTCACTAGAACTTGTTTTAAATATTCTAGTGTGGGGCGGTTTGGCAGAATGAAAAGACACAGCAAATAAGATCTCTGACCTGAAATTATGATCTTCAGAGGCTCACTGTGTGATTGGAGTTCAAGATGGTATTGAGGTTTATAACTAAAGCATCTGTATGTTCCTCCAAATGCTGGTGTCACAGGCCCCAAGAGAAGACTCCTCCGGAACATTTTTTTATGGACCTGAAAGTTAGGATCCCCATGCTCTTTGTACAGCATGACTATGTTAAACTTGTTGTAAGTGTCACAAGTGAGGGTCACATTCTGTCCCTGAGGAACAACATTGCTTGGCCAGGCAGACAGGGAAGGTTTGACATTAATTCCTGTAGAAAGATACACAGAATTAAATATTTAGTGATTCGCCTTATTCTTGAGATCTGAGTTTCCGAATTCTACTTCTTCAGGGTCCATTGTTTGACCCTTTTCTCTGAATGGAAACATCTCTGTTTCATTGTTAGAGCTTTAAAGGCTCAGGGGACTCAAGAGGTAAACAAACATTAATATATTGGAGAGCTGAAACCTGCAAGATTCACCAGTGTCTCTTCCCACTCTATAGGAACTGTAAGTCACTTTTCCTACTGAATTCTAAAAGGAGATAATCAATACCCATTCAGCTGTCAGCAAGTTGTGGAGGGAGCTCCATGGTTTTGCCTTTCATTAAAATCACTCATAATTAGGTGAGCTTTCAGTAATGCTTTTGAATCGTCCCTTGTTTCAGCAAACAAACCCTTATCCATACTGCTATTACTGATCTCAGCGGACGCACAGGTTCAAAGATTTGGACACTGATGCAATCATTGTTTGGTCTGCTCTGTGTTTCCTTTATGGGGTGAGCAGAATTGCATGTATCGTTTCTTCCCAAGGAAAGTCTCAAACAAAACAATTTCATTTTCATGTCATGTGTGTCACCCAACTACCATGTACATATGGAATATCTTTCTATGCTAAAATATGTTAATTCAGAATTTTGAATAAATATTAAATAATGAAGTTGATTTGGTCATGAAAAATGTAATCTAAGAGGATATTATATCAGTTGACTTGAGGAAGATTCATTTGTGAGATCACAGATGGGAATAATAGCCAACAAGTTATAAGAAAAGTAATGCTTTTGACTCACCTTCACTGACTCTAGAAATTTAACAATACTGAATTAGAAATACACTGTGAATGTTCCAGACCTCAGGAGTGAGGGAAGTCAGCCCATAGAACCACAGAACTGAGAAAATTGACAATAAAACAGTAGGCATGTTTTCTTTGTACTACGCTGTTTCTTAAGTACTCTTGTACAGAGCTTCATTCACAGAGGTCACATCAGCTCATGTTTCTACACTGAGTGACAAGTTAGAGGCAGACATACAGTTTCTTAACCATTTCAGGCTCCTTGCATGTGGAACATTGAGAGAATAGTATTTCTCTGCCTCTTTGGTCACTTGGTAATAAAAGTTATTTGGACTCATGATCTTGGTCATTCTTCTGTTTCCACATGGGAGATGTTTCTGAGGAAAGAGACAGTAGCAAACACTGCAGTGAAGACCATATAGACTCCATCCCATGTGGACATGTTGCAACAGTGCTCAGGTAGAGGCTTTTAAGTACCCCAGTGAAAAATTGTACCTGATTGTGATAAGTGGCCAGTAATTTACTGTACCAGGAAGCCCAGCTACCAAAAGCATCTGATCTGAAAACTGAGGAAGCAAGTTAGTAAAACATGGGAAACTGACACCAAAGCCATCCTGTTCAGGGTTGCAACCAATTTACCCAAATCTATTTTCAGGTTAGAATTAATAGTTAATGTCTATTAATACCCACAGAAAAATCTGCATTTGACAGAGGTGATGGTTCTCTTCAATATGAAGATGTCTGTTATTAACTTGTGCATGAAAATCAGAGAAGTCAAATATGCCAGAGAACAACGCTGAGGCTCTGGTAGTAAATACAGAGGAAATGTAGATCTATGAAGCCCACAACAGATAATTCGCTGCATTATTTTCAAAGCAGTGACAGAATTATAAGATGAATAATGTTTCAGAGCTAGGAACATGACATAAGAGAAATAATTCAACCTTTTTTATGGTCTGTGTATTATCATTCAGTAAAATATTTTGAGTCCATTTATTTTTCTGAAAAATTTATGATTTTGTTGTTACTTACCAATGAATAGTATTACAGAGTGTGCATGTGACACATTTTTATTAGCCGTTCATTTGAAACACAATTAGACAGTTTCCTTGTCTTAGTCCTTGAGAATAGAACAGCAAGAAACATGTCTGGGGAAGTACCCATGGCATAGGGTATCAAGTTTTTTGGATGTATTCAAACGGGTAGAAATGATGCAAATATACTACTCAAGAAATTAAATAAAAGAACAATCTTTTATAAAAGAAAAAGATGGTATCTAACTATAAAAATTAAACTTTGATTAAAATCTTTTATAAAATTTGGAAGCAAATCATTGAACATCATAAAAAGTTTGGCAACATCCCTCTTAAGCAAAATATGCAACTACTAAATTGGACAAAATTGTTGCCCAGTTTGATGTGTAAGGAGGTAAAGCTGTTTCTGCTATGT